AACATGTTTTTGAATATTATGAGTAGTGAGTAGTTTTATTATTCTAGTTCCGGGGATGTTGAACCCTAAGACTTGATGAATGTTTGATTAATCTCTGGTTGATAATTTCAATATTTTTTGGAATTGTTTGTGTTATTTTGAATAATTAACCATGATGTGTTGAGTCTTATTTAGATTGATCACCTAGATTAGGCTTTTCATATCTACACCTGAATTAGGCCTTCAATCCGTAATTGTTGATGTGTTTAATTCGCAAGTGGTATCCGGAAGATGGTAACTACCGGGGATAACACGGCTTATTTAAGTGAACGAACGCGTCACTACTTAGTCTAGCCTATTTTTCTAATCCGTAAAGCGGCTGATTGTATTAAATCTAAGAAGCGTTTTCTAGACTGTACAAGAAGTCAGGTTTAATCGTAGAGCGTCTCGCGGTTAGATAAAAAATAAGGAAAAATTCAGGTAACAGCCCGTGGCGTTACCTAGGGCTAGTAGTTCCATAGATAGCGAGATTTGATACCAGAATTAATTAAACGAGTCGGTCGAGGGTGTAGACGGAACCGTGAACTAGAAGTCTTCCCATAATTTGATAAATTATCCTCTTTTGCTGCATTTGATTTTATTTTGCTATTCTTATTTTCGTAGTTAATTGTCTCACAAGAAACCCCCCCCATTTTTATCGCTTTTATTAAATTTCAATTAAAGAAAATAATTACAACTGCGATTCACACTCCCTTGGGTTCGACCCTTACTCACTGCTTCTACTAGTTGGAAGAAGTCGGTTAAGGAATTTATTAATATTAATTTTGCCGCGTCGCGACGCGCGGTCAAGGCCCGGACCGTTTAGCCCGAAGCCCGCTAGGGCTAGCCCGTAACCGCTAGGGCTAGCCCGTTTAACATCTCTAACTCTCAGTCTCAGAAAAGATCAAAGCTACCTGTAAGTATAATTTGATGAAAGTATGATTTGATTTGATTAGTTGTAACTTTTATTATTCAATATCACTCTTCAATTACATGTAACATTTATTATGTTGGAATGACACTGTCATTTGTAATTGTTTTGCACAAAATAGGTTAACAGTCATTGTGAAGGGAGGTGTCAACTACATTACCCTTTCAAATTTAAGAGCTGCTGCTGCTGCTGCTCAGGGGACTTCAAAGAAAAATGAGGGACAGAAATCCATTTGAGGATATGCTGAAGATGGAGAATGTATTGATTTGTTGTGTGAGTGTTATGGACATGTTTGATTGTTGTAGTGTGCACTGGAATAGAACCTTTGTTCTGTAGTGATTTTTTTTTGGTGTGAAGCTTTGGTATGGATGTGTTTTAGGTTTGTTCAGTTTTGGATATCCTTTGTCTGTCCTTAATGGTACATGAATATTGCAATGACTCTTTGTTCAGGTTTTGTTCAGTGTTTGGTTACAAAGTGAACCTTTGTTAAGTTTTTGTTCAGGTTTTGTTGTGGTTTAGGAGTCTTCTTCATATTGCAAATACATAACAATACTCATTGAAAACCAAATGCTGAAAATGGTACATGAATTGCATAACAATATTCATACTGAAAATGGTACAAGAATTGCATAAATAAATCATTACATAATAACAATACTTCAAATTACACCAACTATAACTATCTAAATCTAGTTAGAACATAATTTGACAAGGTATAACAATGAGAGAAGAATAGTACAGCCCATAATTTTTTTATCTTATTCTTGCACACAACCATTGCATTATTCATGTCATTCACATTGTTCATTGCCACCAAGAGCTGAGTTTCCAATTTAGCATTCTTCAACTTGTATTGCTCAAATTCAACCAATGCATTCTTCATGTCATCCACTTTTTTCATTGCCACCAAGAGTTGAGCTTCCATTTCAGCATTCCTCAACCTGTATTGCTCAATTTGATATTGATGTCTATTTGATTTTTTCAGCAAACCGGGTATAATATTTTTTGCTCTTGCGCAAATTTCCGGATCTTACCATATAAAAAACCCACAAAAAACGAACTTTTGCTACAAAATGGAATTTAGGGCATATTTAGGGCATTTGTAAAAATCACTCTTAGGGCATTCGAAAAAATCACACTTAGGGCATATCTTAAAAACAAAATGAAAACACAAACAAAAACAAAATAATTACCCCATATTTAGGGATGCCCAATATCTTCTTCCCGGATTATTTTGGGTCCAAGAGGTCTTCAAGTATACTTTATCTCCACACTTGCAGGCCATCTCCATTGGAGCACCATTCTCGGAGTTCCAGCTCGAGCTTCCTCTTCAACTGCTCATTGCAAATCAATTTTTTTTTTCTTTCCCTCACTGTCTGCAGCTTTGTGGTGCTGTAATGGAGAAACCCGCCATTTTGTATCACTTGCAGAAGGAGACGACTTGCTAGAGAAGGTGACCGTCAGTTGACTCACGATCAACTGACGAGTTGGGCAAAAATGATACATTTTAAATACGTCAATAATTACAAGTGATTAAGTTAAAATCACGGGTATCAAAATTGAAAAGTAGGTAAACTTGAGATACCAAAAGTTAAATTTTTCCATTATCATAACCTCGAAAAGGGGTTTTGCAATCCTCCTCGAAAATCGTCTTTTCCGCACAATCGAGAAACTTTGGTTGACTTTTACAGTACATTATTTCCAAGCTTTTCTTTGTAAAATTCACCACAAACATTCACCACCTTTATATTATTATACTCTCCTGCCTGCGGCCCTGCTTTTCTAAATTATTTCTATTTTCCTCATGAAATTTCCTTTTCGTATAATTATTATTCTCCACCGATTTGAATTTTTCTATTCCGCATATTCTCCCGGTTTTATCGATTGGGGTTTTCTTCTCTGAGCAGGCGTGGCGTGAAAATTGTCTTTGATTTGATGGCTGTCATGGATGATGTTGGGATTGATGCGAGGTCTGATTCCTCTGTTTAATTTCTCCATCAATTTAATTTTAGGGTTTCTCAATTCTTGTTATTTTATCTCTATCTTCGTCGATTGTGGACAAGGGTTCTGCTTTTTAGGGCCATCTTCAAAAATGTTTTTTTTTTTTTAAATATAAATATTGATGCGGTGTAATGATCCTACCGATGATGGCTGATATATATATTCTGGAATTCGATAGATTATATCAAGTTTAGTTTTTTTTTGCATTAACTGGATTTTTTTTTTTTTTGGTTGTGGAACAATTTATAATGATTAAGCATTTGTAATAAAAATTGAAACATGATGTATCAATTTTGTTGCATTGATATTTCTCTGTAGAAAGAAATTATTGCTCACTTCAATTTGTGCATACATTTATTGGTAAAAGTATGTATTTGAATTCTTGAAAACTAAAAGTGGTAACGTGTGCCCGACAGCTCGGACATCGATGTGGATGACTTGAGAGTCGACCCAAACATAGACGAAAAGGATGTTAGTGATGAGGAGATCGACCCAGACGAGCTCGAGAAGCGGATGTGGAAGGATAGCATCAAACTCAAGCGGATCAAGGAACGGCAAAAGCTCGCATTACAGCAAAAACAGAAAAGCAATTCCACCTCCGACCAGGCCAGGCGGAAGAAGATGGCCCGAGCCCAAGACGGCATCCTCAAGTACATGCTTAAGCTCATGGAGGTCTGCAAGGCCCGTGGGTTTGTCTATGGCATCATCCCAGAGAAGGGAAAGCCCGTCAGTGGCTCATCTGACAACATTCGGGCCTGGTGGAAGGAGAAAGTCAAATTCGACAAGAATGGGCCCGCCGCCATCGCTAAGTACGAGGAGGCTGAGTACCGGTTGATCGAGAGCGGGTGTGGGGCCCAAGGCGGAAGCCCGCAAAGCGTGCTGCAGGACTTGCAGGATGCAACCTTGGGTTCTCTTCTGTCTTCATTGATGCAGCACTGTGACCCGCCTCAACGCAAGTATCCGCTGGAAAAGGGTGTGGGCCCACCCTGGTGGCCCACGGGGAATGAGGAATGGTGGGCCCAATTGGGGCTGCCTAAGGGACAGAGTCCTCCATACAAGAAGCCACATGATCTGAAGAAGATGTGGAAAGTCGGGGTTTTGACTGCTGTCATAAAGCACATGTCGCCTGATATAGCGAAAATAAGGAGATTAGTTAGGCAGTCGAAGTGTTTACAGGATAAGATGACGGCTAAGGAGACGTCTATATGGTTAGGTGTTTTGAGCAGGGAGGAGGCTCTTGTTCGACAGCCGAGCAGTGAAAATGGTTCGTCAGGGGTTAGCGAGTTGCCTTTGAAAAAACGAGATAAGAAGAAAATAAGTGCTGATAGTGATAGCGATTATGATGTTGATGAGGTCAGGGACGGGCTAAGGTCCGTTTCGTCTAAAGATGATAGGAAGAATAAGTGTCTTGATATTGTACCGGGGGAGCCTGACATTGATGTTACTCATCAGGTTGTCAAAAAGGACAAAGGAGAGCATACAATCAAGCGGCCACGTAAAAGAAAGTGCTTGAAGCCCAGCTCCAATAACCTACCGCCTTTGCCGTCTCCTGTGGAAGATCAAGGAAATGATCCTACACAAACGGTCCTGAATGAAAACCAAAACGACATGCAATTGGCGGAACATTTGACAAATGAGAGCCAAATAATGGCGATGAGGTCCCAGGAAAACAATGCTCAGTGCCAACCGTGCTTAGTTGAACCTGATATTAACTTTTTTCACTCACCTAGTCCGGTAATCCCATTTGACCGTGTTTCCCTCAATAATGAACCATTAAATTACCCGGCAATTCAATCTGTTGTCAAACCGTCTAGTTCACATTTGATCCGCGCCCCTCAAGAGGACCAGTCACATGATAACCTTGAGAAAACTCAAATTCCCGTATTGCAACATCAACTTCAAGATCCTGTTTTGCCTAACGGGCCTCCAAACTCTCTATGGCCACAAGGACCTCAAGATTCTACTTTATCCCATGGATTTGAAAATACCGGGCTGCAACATGGATCACCCTATCCCTATGGCTTTTACATTCCCCCGGCTGCAGGTGGGCTGAGCCATCAAGGACAACGGTCAGCAGCCATGTTCAACGAAGTGCAGTTTGAACCACTGGATTTGGGATTTCAGTCGCCTGTGTTACCAGTAAATGGAAATGATCTTTATGTGGGAAATCATTTCCCGCATCCAGTGCAAGAAGGGTTCCCACGTGAGCCGGATAGACTGGTCAAGACTGAGTTACCAGGAAAGAGTCTTTCATTTGATGGCACAAGCTCGTTGGATTTTGGGGACTTTGATTTTATGTTGAATGATAGCTCAATTGATGCGCTTATGGAGTACTTTGCCTCATGAGCTGCTAAATGTTTGCCGCTTCAGTTTTTTGCATGTGAGTAATTTCACTCATAATAAGTATATAATATAAACTAACCCTTGTGTAAGAACTAGAAACTGATTCTAGCGCTCAATTTTGTAAATTTTTAATGCCCGTGATTATGTACGGTGCTATCTTTAACAGCATATGATGCTATTTTCCACAGTAATGCTATGCTACTACAGGTGCGTAGGGATGCTATTTCTAAAATTAATTCACTGGTTAAAAATGGCATATAATGTGGTTCTTATGGTTCTTACACTAGGATCTTGTTCTTATTAGAATTGCACACAAATCCTATATAACTATTGTCTGTTTCTTCTAACTTTTCTTTCATGCCTATTTTGTAGTGGACAGGGAAAGAGGTATGTCTGAAGGCGGACGATTCATTTATTGTCATCTGAATTCTTTGACCAGTTTTGCTAATTCATGGATTTTTTCAAGTGGGCCTGTGGGCAACGGAGCTTTTCCGTTTGTTGGTCGGTAATACATTTTGTTTTTCTTCTTAAAAATTGTTTTGGTGTTGATTCTTATAGTGCAGATAAATTAATGAATGCAGAACAGAGGCTGCTATGTATTTATGGTGAAGGATAATGATCCCGGGTTCCTTTAATGATTGTAGAACAGAGTCTGCTATATATATTGATGGTGTAGGATAATGATCTCGGGTTTGCTTCATTAGGGACCACCGGATGAATCTGAGTTGATATTGATTGTTTTCCAAAGAAGTTGATTTAGCTCTACTGAAATGCTCGATTATTGATCTTGTGTAGTTCACGATCAGGTAGCTGCAGACATTCATATGTATCATTGTGTGGATAGCTCGTTAAGTGCTATATCACTAATTGAGAGTAGAGCCTTAACTGGCTTGTTCGAACAAGCAAAAGTACAACATTTTTTTGTTTTCGTTCTCTGCCCGGACGAATTTTACTCTACCAGTGTTCCAAGCTGTCAGATCAACACACCCATGCGGGTATGCGCTAATTTAAATCAAGATGAGTACCTCTTTTCCGGTTTCTAATCCTCACTCGCCTCTCTTTTCCATAGCGCTGTTACCGTTACAGATCGTAAACGGTGGGCGACTTTAGAGTTCAATGTGAACCATGGTTAAATATGGTGTAATGTACAAAAAATATTCATGTGTGCATGTGAGTGACTGACCTGAAAGTGACTGACCTGAAATAGTTTTGGAGGGGAAGAAATAAGGGAAATACTGTGGGGGTTTTGAGAGGTGAGGATAAATGTGAGGGGCCGAGGGAGAATTGTTATAAATTCCTAAAAACTAATCAAAAGTTAGATTTAATTGAACTTTAACTTAATTTTATTATCTTTAATTTTATTCATATAATTAAATAATGTTAATCAATCATCTTTACACATTACATCAACTTTATTTTACTATTTATTTAGTTACATAATTTTAATTAACTATTATTTCATATCATATCTCTCATATTTTTATATCAAATCACCTTTAATTATTTTATTTTAAATATTATTTTAATATATCTTTAAATTTTCACTAACAACTAATAATATTTTTCTAAAATTAACTATAATTAACAAAAATAACCGGTCTAGGTTATAATCACACCCTTAGAGCACCCGCATTGGTGCTGTTTTTTTAGTGTTTAAATGGATCTCCCGAGTTAACACGGATGCAGCTCATCCGTTAAAAGGTGGGGCCGACCTCCTTGTTCAATATGCTGAACGCGTTAAAGCTTTTTTCTTTCTTTCTTTTAAAAAAAAATATATATTATTTTATTCTTTACTTGTTGGACATGCTTATTTTTTTATTCTGTTTTTTGTTTTAAGATTTTTATTTATTAACTCTTTTTATTTTTTCTTTTTTATATTTTATTATTTTTTATTTTTATCACGCTTTCCAATACAGATAAATTCAAATTTTTTGTAATTGTACTATTTTTTTCTTGTGTAATCTTAATTTATGGTATTTTGGTCTTGTAGTATTTTTTTTATTTTCATGTATTTAAAATTTATTGTTATAATTTAAAAGTATGAAAATTT